AATAAGCACCGAACATACTATTCAAGGAAATATAAATTAGTGAAACAAGAAAATATATGAGGGATTCCAAAGCTTAGACCCTGAAGGAAGATAAAGAATGGATGCACCTACATCATTGTAAAGTAAAGAAGAAGGATACCTCACATATGCTGCAAGTGACGTAAGTTGAAGAACGTTAACTGAGCCTTCTGAATCCGTTCCGATATTTCATCAGATATTAACCCATCAGGACTGACGAGACTTTCATGACAAACATAGCGGTAGATGCATCCAATTACTCCACTTCCTACTAACTAGAGGGAGAAGACCAAATTCAGCCGCGAAATATATATATTCTATAAGCAGCCCAGAAGAACGAACGAAAAGCACACAACTCATGCATATATATACAATCTAAAAATGACCCTGAAAAACGTCACAAAATAGCTTAATAAAAGAGGGAACCAACCAATAACACTTAAGGTGCTTTTGAATAGGAAACACAAATCGAAGGTAAAAAGTGGGCGCTTTTTGAACGAAGATGAGGAATTCAAATTTCCATAATAAAATCGCAAAAATGATAAGTTTACTAAGTGATTTCTAGGGATCTAGCGTCCCCTACACTACCTATTATCAGTTCACACACTGAGCCAAGCCAATCCTAAGGCAACATTTTACATACATATAGTTCCCTTTATCATTTTAAAAAGAGCAAGAACAAAGATTCTAGCAGAATAGCATGAATTCATTTTATTTCGTAGGTTCTCCTCAGCTGCTTACAACCTGTGATATTTAAAAATCATAATTACATAATGGATTTAAACTGCTTACTGAATACTGTAAATACATACCTAATGTGAAAGAATATTCTACAACAATAATTGTGACAACAGTTCAAAAGTGGGTTAGAAACAATTGATTACATAATGAATAAACATTGATGGGAATATAATGAGTAGAGTTCAGTTGAAGGATAGTTGAAAAATAAAATAAAATCAATGATGCAATGAATACAAAAGGAAAAAAGAAAAAATTTTTTAAGGTGCAGTGAAGGAATATTTGTCACCAGGGCAAGGAAAGATTAACCACCGTCTCCTTTTGAATACATAGGTCAGGTTTTTGACGCCTGATGGCAAAGGCTTCAGCAAACTTCAGAAGACTGGAGTTTGGTTGCTTACTAATCACCCTAAAGGATTGTAAGGTATCTACCTGATGTCCTGTATCAAGGAGATGTTTGGTGATTGCACTGTTCAGAGTCTTTCTTTCCTTTGTTCTAAGACTTTTTGGAACATGTTCAAAAAATCTAAGATATGCTCTCCTTTCAATTCGGCCGATGTAGCTGCTTTGGTAGGTACACGTAAATTTATAAATACAGTTGGCGGTAACATGAAAGGGTTGCTTGTCGATCTTTGATTGGGTTATTGAACATGTTGTTTTATAGAGAGTTAAGAGTTTAGCAGCCGGGTAAGTTCTGGCTAGAGCAGTGTTCAGTCTTCTGTTGATTATTTGTGCTATGTTATCACCTTTAAAGTTAAGATTTATATATACTGGCCTCTTATTGACCGTAGTTATTTCCATTTTGTTTTCTTTGGGCTTTTTATATTTGTTAACAAACTTTTGTGGATAAAAGTTGTCTTTTAGACATTTTTCTACGTTCATTATTTCTTCTTCCAGTTTGTCGGTGGTACATATCTTTTCTACCTTGTAAAATAGTGTTTTAACCAATGCCTTCTTGTAACTAATTGGACAAAAACTATTGAAATTCAGGTAGAGGCCATTCCAATTACTTGTTCTATAAACTGAACGCTGAATTGTCCCGTCTCCCCTGCGTTTTATGGCAACATCAAGAAAATGGAACATGTCGTTCTGTTCGTGCTCCATAGTAAAATGTATGTTAGTGTGAGCGTTATTGAAAAGTTTTAGCAGGCGGATTGCATGCTGTTTATTGTTACAGATAATAAATGTGTTGTCCACATATCTGGAGTATTCCGTTGTTTCACTAATTGCCTGTTTAAGTACCGTGTTTTCAAGATACCCCATAAAAATATCTGCCATAATTGGACCTAGTGGGCTTCCCATTGCTACGCCATCGATTTGGCGATATATGGTGTTATTGAACTGGAATTGAACATTTGTTGTGCACATCAGTAGTAATTTTTTTCTGGATTCTGGGGCTGGTAAAGGTAGGAGATCATCATTCTGACAAATTATATCAATAGTTTCAAAAAGTGGTATATTAGTGAACAAGGATGTTACATCAAAAGAGACCATGAAATTGTCGGTAACATTCGTATGATTTAGTCTATCAGCAAACTGGAATGAATCTCTTAGCGTATATGTTGCTAATCTACGACGAACCGGTTCTAGTTTTACTGCTAGCCAGCGTGCAACTTTATGATACGGTGAGTTGATCATTGATAGGATAGGTCTAAGGGGAACGTCATGTTTGTGAACTTTTGGTAAACCGTACATATGAGGTAGACGTGAACCGCGTGGTCTTCGATCGTTGTAAGTAGAATTATCAATCATTTTCTTTTTTTAGAGAACTCACGTCTACCTCATATGTACGGTTTACCAAAAGTTCACAAACATGACGTTCCCCTTAGACCTATCCTATCAATGATCAACTCACCGTATCATAAAGTTGCACGCTGGCTAGCAGTAAAACTAGAACCGGTTCGTCGTAGATTAGCAACATATACGCTAAGAGATTCATTCCAGTTTGCTGATAGACTAAATCATACGAATGTTACCGACAATTTCATGGTCTCTTTTGATGTAACATCCTTGTTCACTAATATACCACTTTTTGAAACTATTGATATAATTTGTCAGAATGATGATCTCCTACCTTTACCAGCCCCAGAATCCAGAAAAAAATTACTACTGATGTGCACAACAAATGTTCAATTCCAGTTCAATAACACCATATATCGCCAAATCGATGGCGTAGCAATGGGAAGCCCACTAGGTCCAATTATGGCAGATATTTTTATGGGGTATCTTGAAAACACGGTACTTAAACAGGCAATTAGTGAAACAACGGAATACTCCAGATATGTGGACAACACATTTATTATCTGTAACAATAAACAGCATGCAATCCGCCTGCTAAAACTTTTCAATAACGCTCACACTAACATACATTTTACTATGGAGCACGAACAGAACAACATGTTCCATTTTCTTGATGTTGCCATAAAACGCAGGGGAGACGGGACAATTCAGCGTTCAGTTTATAGAACAAGTAATTGGAATGGCCTCTACCTGAATTTCAATAGTTTTTGTCCAATTAGTTACAAGAAGGCATTGGTTAAAACACTATTTTACAAGGTAGAAAAGATATGTACCACCGACAAACTGGAAGAAGAAATAATGAACGTAGAAAAATGTCTAAAAGACAACTTTTATCCACAAAAGTTTGTTAACAAATATAAAAAGCCCAAAGAAAACAAAATGGAAATAACTACGGTCAATAAGAGGCCAGTATATATAAATCTTAACTTTAAAGGTGATAACATAGCACAAATAATCAACAGAAGACTGAACACTACTCTAGCCAGAACTTATCCGGCTGCTAAACTCTTAACTCTCTATAAAACAACATGTTCAATAACCCAATCAAAGATCGACAAGCAACCCTTTCATGTTACCGCCAACTGTATTTATAAATTTACGTGTACCTACCAAAGCAGCTACATCGGCCGAATTGAAAGGAGAGCATATCTTAGATTTTTTGAACATGTTCCAAAAAGTCTTAGAACAAAGGAAAGAAATACTCTGAACAGTGCAATCACCAAACATCTCCTTGATACAGGACATCAGGTAGATACCTTACAATCCTTTAGGGTGATTAGTAAGCAACCAAACTCCAGTCTTCTGAAGTTTGCTGAAGCCTTTGCCATCAGGCGTCAAAAACCTGACCTATGTATTCAAAAGGAGACGGTGGTTAATCTTTCCTTGCCCTGGTGACAAATATTCCTTCACTGCACCTTAAAAAATTTTTTCTTTTTTCCTTTTGTATTCATTGCATCATTGATTTTATTTTATTTTTCAACTATCCTTCAACTGAACTCTACTCACTATATTCCCATCAATGTTTATTCATTATGTAATCAATTGTTTCTAACCCACTTTTGAACTGTTGTCACAATTATTGTTGTAGAATATTCTTTCACATTAGGTATGTATTTACAGTATTCAGTAAGCAGTTTAAATCCATTATGTAATTATGATTTTTAAATATCACAGGTTGTAAGCAGCTGAGGAGAACCTACGAAATAAAATGAATTCATGCTATTCTGCTAGAATCTTTGTTCTTGCTCTTTGGAACATTTTACATTTGGAGATGGCGAACCGCATCCTCAACATCCCAGCATTGTTGGTTAAAGTGATCAGAAGACTCTCCACTTTGTCTTCGTGTTTGTTGATCGAAATAATGCAACTGATCACCATCTTCAGTATTTAATTCATTATTATTTGAAGTATATAATATATGCAGTCATTGTGTGCAAGAAAAAAAAACAACCACGTTAGATCTTAAATGTAGCACAGCCATCTTCGCTTATGACTTATCTAACGGGGTTTATCTGTTTTGCTCAAAAATCAGCGAGGTCATGAGTTGCTTTTAGATTTTTGAAGAAATATTGTACTGGAATTTCTACTGCCGTGGAATGACAATCCTTAACACACTAGTAGACTGTTTGAGTCACTACTGTCGTTTCTGAATCTCCAATTTCATTTTGTTGTCATTAACCCTTCATCACTAGCTACATCATTAGTTTATCGTCTTCCTTCTACTGAAACTGCACTTCTATCTGCATACTATTGCTTATATTTCCTAACCGCATGTCATATCAGACATGGAGTCCCACTAACACAACCTTTAATAAAACTTTAGAATTTCTTCTATATATGTCCTCGAATTAGGGTGATCATCTAAAATTTTATTCTAAAAGAATATGGCTATTCAATACGACATTTCAATTGTACACGAAATCCAGTAATATCTGTTCTCATGCCGCCTTTTTTTTCTTAGAAAATCGACTTTTTTTAAAATTAATTACATATCATAACTAAAAAGATATCCTGTGTTGTTTTAATACGAAATAAAGTCTGAAAAATACGTATCATATCAGACACACGTACACACATGTACTTACTGTTCTCACATTTTTCGGAATTGAAATAAACTAGAAACAAGGAGAAAATAAAGGGAAGTAGGAAAGTTATAGGTTTTTTTGACATAAAAATAAAATAAACACTAACTTAGTGTCTACTTTGTGTTCAATTGTTGTATATCCAGCTGGATGTACCTGCATCGCAGAGTTGATGTTCACTTCGGGACTAGAACCTAATACTGTTCGCTCCAAATGCCATCGCGCTATCCACCTAGCTAGTGAGTCCAAATAGGACGAAACGTGCGTCCGGGATTTCACTGCTAGCCACTATCCATCTCTGAATAAACAACATTGTTTTAAATTATAAACCTCAATAGTTTACTAATCCAATAATCCCTTCTCTCCATCCATATCTAGTCACTTTTCAATAAATCTTCAAAAAAACCACATTTCATTGAATACGCATGATATACAACAATTGAACACAAAGTAGACACTAAGTTAGTGTTTATTTTATTTTTATGTCAAAAGAAACCTATGACTTTCCTAATTCCTTCTATTTTCTCCTTGTTTCTAGTTTATTTCAACTCCGAAAAATGTGAGAACAGTGACATCGCGTGCTCCATGCTAAGATGGTTTGAACCAGTCTGTAGAGTAAACTCTACTTGATAGAAGTTTCGTGTTATTTTTAACACTCGCGGATTCGAATCCCAAATAAAGTGAATCAATTTCCTTAGGATTCCAAACCCTTTTTTTCCTAATGAATGGCAACTAACACGACACCTACGTCAAACAAGGTTTTCTACCACCTATCTCCATGCACAGAACAATAATGAGCTTTTATTGTCTTCAGTTTTCTTAACCTAGTTATGTTGATGATGAGTAGTACTTATTTTCATCAATTACTGTTTGCTTATCTACTCGTCCTTCCCTATATTATATTTCTTCTTAAGGAAATAAACACAAGCGCTTCAACAAAAGCAGTTTTTCTTATGATTATCACGCTTGCACAGTTGTGCGTGTATATATGTTTATTGTAGATACACTATTTTACAGTTCCAATAAATAAGTGGATGTCATTGAAATGTAAAAAAATTTTACACTACAAAAGTCTTCATTGTGTCACCCCAATGATGCATACGTAGTGGGTTTCTGTTTCTTTAAAATTTTTGTCTACTAGCATGACTCTATATATATACATTATAATCCTATAATAATAATAATAATAATAATAATAATAATAATAATAATAATAATAATAATAATAATAATTCATTATTTTCTATTAGACGTATCCTCGTGCATTGATCCCTATCAGTGCTCAAGCCATCCCATCATTACATATCTGTTTGGATACGGTTATTGATGTATTTCGAATGAGTGGAGATTATGCCAAAATGGTAAGCTGGAACTTATTTTCCTTCAGCTTTTTTATTTATTTAATTTTTTGACAGTTCAGTTTTATAATTTACAGTTGAGTATGTAATTAAATAGAATGGTACATATATATACTACTTATAATTTAATCAGCTTATTGTATATTAGTTTATATATATTCAAGTGTTAGTTATCAGTGTTATGAATACTTATGATACTGATGAAATGAACGTCAATAGTTTCCATGTTGTCTCTTAGTTGTAATTATTATTTGGTAGAAAATTATTTCCTTTTTAGTCATGGGAATCAGATAAACATTGATTTAAATATCCGATTTGGTTTGGTTAGTTTTTCTTATTTAAATCAATGTAGAAAGTAATGTTTTGTTTTGTTTTATCTATACGGTTGTATAAATTTAAATCATGAAAGAATTAGACAAACAACCGATGTTGTCAATTGTGTTTTGATTAAATTTTCAGTAACACCACAGTTTAATCGAATGGCTTTTGTAAAGTGATATCATGTATGGTTTAAAATATTTTTCTCTACACTAATACGTTACTACGATAATGAGACTAGTCAGATCTAGCATTCACAACCTAGAATAGAGAACCAGGTTAACACTAGATAATACTTTATTCAATACCGCTGCAAGAAGTCACAATCAGTGAGTTCGCGATAGAAATTAATAAGAGGAAAGGAAATCACATTTAATGGTCAGTAGACTAAGTACCTGTTTGTCTACGCTCAGTGACCAATCCATAGTTTACTTTCACTACCGCATATCATAAAGTTAGGTACTGTGTTTAGAGCAGTGGAGACTAAAATGTGCTTTACTTTCTGTTCAGGACTCATCAATTGAATGTGCCTCTATTTCAGTATCAACGTTCACATTAGGACTTCAACCCGGTCAGTCATCTTTTGTTTCGATCACTAACTCCTTATCCATTGAACTACCCACTCCAGATAGCGATTCAATTATTCAATGAATATAATGTTTATTATTCATTATTAATTGGGTTTAAGATGTAAGTACATCCAGCTGATAAGTCCTAAATACAATGAGATTTGTATCGTGGCTTCCAATCTTCTGGTCGAAAATGGTCTATTCTTTAAAAAACTTGCAACAAACTGGGTATATCAAGGCAATCCACAAAGTGTGCACAAACATACTGTCTGGGCCTTAACATTGATTAAATTCCACCAACTAAAAATGTAGAATTCTTTTCACTAAACTAAATATTGTCAATATTTTTCTATCCCACTGACTATTCCATCATGAAATATTTCAAAAATTATTGTCATTAGTAGACGCTTCAATTGACTTTAAGCATATTATTTTTCTCTTATAATGGGAAATGATTTTTTTTTTACTGAAAAAATAAAACGCATGACATAATTGACGAATATCAGTTTTTTTCAATTCTACAGATGTATTCCTTAAAAAAACTCAGTCTGTATCACATGATGGTAGAGAATTTTTGTAGTTCCGGATGAGAATGTTCGAGGTGTTTTAGTCTCTATATTTATTTATTTGAACACAAATATTGATACAAAGGAGCACCGAATACATATTCGCCACACAGGTCAATTGATTTGTGTGTGGGCTGTGGTACTGCCCGGTTGCCACACCCACAAGACAGTGGAGCAACGTCAGGAACTGTAGTCCCATGGTAGCCGGTGACTAACAATTGGTTGATACGCCATTTATTCCCTCAGGATGCTGGAGCCCATGTGCACCATTGGTTTGGAATCAGGGTTTTCCAACTCCTCTAAGTGGACCCTCCGTATCCACCAATCCGGTTAAAGCGACAGATATTCGCTTTTCGTCCTCTCAATTTCGTAAACAACACCGCCTCGAGGAGACAGTGAGTAGGACTTCCCTGGTACTGGCTGTATACGCGTGATCATATGAGGGCGAACTCTCCTCCACCCTCGGCCGTACCAGGACATTTGGGGGCGTAGTCTCTATGGTTAGATTACCAGCAGTTAAGTGCCTAAAAGTATGCTTAATTAGTAGTGTCATTTATAAGTGAACAATAAGACTTTTTCAAATAAATTCTCATTATTCAAAATAATGACGATTAAGATGAGAAAATAAAGAGCTTCAGGCAGTTTCTTTTTTGTAAATAATAAAATATGTACAACATATGCATTTTGGAATTTTAAGTAAAATTAGATTGCCTATGTAGTTTAGCAAGATTGTGAAATTAATAATCGGAATAATTATGATCGAAGTAGAATAAAACGAATATATTTTTTGAGGTGATAGGTGGCGGACAACGGTACTAGTAGATGATTTTTGGCTTTCTAAACTCAGACAATACAATTTCATCAAAGTTTCGAATAATAATCATATCAAATATTCGATAAGAAATTATGCTATTGAAATGAATGATATGAATTAGATAAGGAATATTAGAGAAAAAAGGTTAAATTAGTGGTAGACGGAAGTGAATTATTCATCTGATGTATAATATAGGGTAGGGTAAACCAGAAAATTAATCAGATACATCCTAGATGTAAATATAATGGGGGAATAGTGATATATATCTATTAGACGTATCAGATTGCACTTTATGTTGAGTAAAATTGTCCACTTATTAGTTCTGAAGCTGGTCAAAGTAGTAGAAGAGGTTAAACCGGTTTTTTATGGAATTCAGAACTCAGGGCGTTTCTTTTTTTACTTGAACAGTTATTGCTTCCATCGTTTGAGAAATTTCGAGATTAGATCACCTATTGTGACGTGTAACTTTTAACAGTAAAGGTTGCTAAAAATCAACGGTTATCGTTTGTTTTATGATATATTTGAACTGTATTAACTGCGATCGAACCATTTACGATTGTGACTGAAATAAGAATCTAAATTCTTAGAACACTGACCAATATAACTTACTTCATTGAAACATTTGTATTGATAAATTCAAAAAATGGATTTTTTCCGTTGATAAAGCTCCATGGTTTTTATTCAGAATGACTTATGCACTAATCGTTCGTACACCCCTGCCTTGTATGTTGAATCGCCTATTGGATTATCGCTATTACAAGGTGTTGCGTAGATTGTTGAATTTAAAGTTTCACATTATGGACTAAATCGAGTTGGACAACCATTGAATACCAGTGTACTCTACATAACTGTTTGACCGTAGTATTATACATAATACTCATGCATTACCCAACTAGCGAATTAATCCAAATGCCTTCGTACCTCACGATGGACACTGGATCTTCAGATTATTTCAGTCAATTCGTGATATTGTACGATCATCATTCATCGTCACGATTGGCACAAGTACACAAATAAATAGATAACTTCAGCCTAATTAAATAAGCAAAATAACTTGATATATAATATTCATCTGTTACATCTGTTAAACACACTTTGCATTTAATCGTAACGCTCCACATACGTAGGTACAATACCATTATAATTATGTTAAAGTATTTATATTACTCTGTAATCCTCTGGATTCCAACCGGTCACTGTGTACATCAAATTGTTTGTTTCCGTAAGGTATTTCTCATTGATAGACTAATGATTTTGATAATTGAATTTGGACAGAATTCTTTTGGGTTATGTCAAAATAAACTCTGAACGTCAGTCTCAATCATCATCTCTTTATATCTAATAACAGTAAATAATAAATATGCCTTGTTTTTTTTTAATGATCACTATCTAAAGTTGTAAATAAATGGATAGTATTTGTCTGTTCTTATGGATATTGTCGTAAATTTCAGTGAGTGGGGTTAGAGAGATGTAAATAAACAAAAATTCTTTTGAATAAGAAGAAAATCTCTAGTCTTTGATGTTGTTTCTTTCTTCATTATACGTCCAAGTGTGTGTGTGTGTATGTGTATGCGTAGAAAAAATACCTTAAACTGTGTCATGCATCCTAAACATCAAATGTCAATGAGATCTGTTCATTTTAACTTTTGAAAATTATATTTCTGTTTGTTCTTGTCATTGTTGTCATTGATTTAAAGAAGAAGAAGAAGAAGAAAAAAACGGGAGGTTTATCAATGACTAGTTTTTGTACATTTGTAATATTAAATTCATTAAAGTATGGTTAGATAAATAGATATGTATGCCAGTAAATAATTTATTTATACCAAAATATGAAAATACTAATTCAGTTATTTAGTTTCAATAAATTTTCTTTAGGAAACCTGTATATACTCGAAATTTTCCATGAGTAGAAGTTGAGAGAGCTATTTAATGTCATAGCTTACATCAAACACTGGTCTTAGTTAGATAACTACTGAGAATCATGAAACAGTGGATAGCTATTTTATCTTTGTGTGAGACTCTTCAGCTGTCCATCTGCATGACTTCACGGGAAATCGGACTAAGGACCTCCAGGTCTTACAACAAGTTCTTGAATTTTCATTGATTCTTTTTACATAATACTTCAGGTATATATTTTCAATATTCTATTAAACGTCTTTTTAAATTATCAATCAGAAACGATTCTTATCTCATCAATTTCATGGTTTTATCATATAAACAGTGAGTATATATACAAAGGGTTAGAAAATGTTTTGCCATAATTCAGTCTCGAATTGCACTGATGTGGGAATTGAAACCTGTTATAACTTGTAGCCTTGTGCCCAATGACGTATAAACCCGTACAAACAGTCTAGAGTCCTTATCGGTCCTTCTTCCTGACTAGCCCTGCTTGTTTTAGTGCATTACGCAAATTTCAGCCTCCGCGATATGAATCATAGATTTTAAACATACTGGGTTTATACACAAGCCAAACAGATCACATCACACCATAAAATAGCAGATAACATTTGTACAAGATCAAGCCAAAAGTGGCTGTGATTGTGGGAAACTGTATTTCATAAACTGGGCATAACTTAAGAATGGTCAATCGTATAATAATAGTTTATAGGTCAAAATGAAGCGTATAATAAGATGAATATGAATGTACGTAGTTTAGTGACTTAACAATTATACAGTTAAAATACATATATAATATTAGTCCATAAATAAATCCCAACAGTTACCATTCTCGTCTGTATATAACAAAACCCTTACTAGTCATGATGTAAACATCATACTTGTTGAACAAGTTATCGGTTATCTAGTCCAATGGATAAGGATTTGGGGCTCGAACCAAAAACTGACTGACTAAGGCCGAATCTCAGTGTGAATCATTATCATTAAGATTTGACATGTACATTCAAATAATAAATCCCAAATAAAGTGTAACATACGTCATGAATTCCACTGCTAAACTATAATCTATCTGTTCTAGTAAACATTTTATTCAACTTTTCATCAAAAATATGGCTTTTCTTTTTCATAAAATATACAATGGCTGACATATCAATTGATTATATAAACCTCATCTTAATGAATTGTATAACGAATCAGTTTGCTTTTTTTTATTTTTGTTCGAAAATACTTCAATTTTTAATTTTGATCATTTAAATCAGATCTGATGTTTGTTTGTTTATTGTTGTTTTTGTTCCCTTTTTGAGTTCTCTCTTTTTTTTTAATTTTCTCTCGTTGCTATCATTCACTGTTTTTCTTCCTCGCTTTTCATCACTGAACAATAATATTGAACATTGAACATAAACTCTCGTTATCTATGATAAGATTTTATTATTGCAATTCTAGTTTTATTTCTCCATAATACTATTAATTTTCTTTTTATTGAAGTAGTATGATTACTTAAATGTTTTGTTTGTGTATAATTGTTTGTATGTCGATGGATATCTTTGTGTTTGTTTACAAAGAGTATGACAGTAAATAAAGAGTTTTGATGACAATAAGTGAGATTTTAATCATCAATAAACTTGAATGATCATATCAGTGATTTAGTTGATTTATATATTTAGAGCAACAAAATGTTCCAAATTTAATTTGTGTAATTTAAACAATGAAAAATTTTATTATTTAAACAATCCTCAAAGTGTTCATATGTATTACCTTCAGATTTCGTAGACTTCGTGTCTGATGGAATGCCAACTGTGACGTAAAACTTAGTTCGAGGTTGTGTTTTTTTTTCAGAAATAGTTTAATTCTTAACACTTAACAAGTGACAATTAACTTATCAAAGTAGATCATATTCAGTTAGTGTACAAAGAAAAGATCTAAGATTCATAATGTATATTTCCATTGATTGTTCTAAATATTTGGTTCGAATACAACACATTTTAATATCAACAAGATGAGACTTTAATATATGGACAACCTTTCAACAACACTAAGATGACCTTGGAATATCCACCTACTTACTAGGGTTAAATGTGTGTTATATATATTAATGTGAGGAATTAGAATTCGGATTTACAGTTGAATGTTAAAGTTAGAAATTAGATTTAATGTTTTCATCACAAACTATAATGCCAAAATGGTATTTAGCCAAATGATTGAATGGATTTCTCATCAAAATCCAAGATCTATCTTAAATTTGATTGTTTCGTCCATAAATTATAGTCTCGCCATCAACATTATTTCAATTTAGAAAAGGAATTAATTGTTAAATAATAATTTCGGTAAATTACTTACTGTACATGATAAATAAATTATGTAATTAATGTAAAGATTGGTTACTTTACTTTCATCGTCATGATTGTTCCATTCTACAGATTATTGAACGATAAACTTATGAAAGCTCAAAGGAAAAATTAACTCTTGTAACTTAAATTCAAGTTACACTCTGATGCTAAGTACTATCATTGTCTACAAATCATAGGTTAATCAATAATATTGTTTAAGATGAATGTTTGGAACTAATGCTTCTCTTTTCGATCAAAATAAAATGTAACCACAGATGTAGTAGAAGTGAAACTTGATATTTCTCTAATAAGCAATGAACATATAGAAGAGCATTAATCATTTGTTTCTAACCTATTTTAAGGCTATTCTACAATCTGTACTCACGACCTTAAATAAGATCAAAACTGGGCATCTGGTGTCTAGATCAGTGCCTCTATAAATCGGAATCCGATAGAATACATTCTGTAGTTCAGTTAATTTACGTAGAAACCGAAGATTTAGTAAAGTAAAAACACATGTTTTTATTATATAATAATGTTTATGCATTATATACTTAGTGAGATACTTTTATCATGATAACATACGCAAATTAAAGGTCTCTTGAAATCAATCAGTAATGTATACATAAATTAATAGTTAATTAATTAGAGAAAATGTTAAATTTTTCTTTGATTAAAACAGTAGGTAGTGTTATATCGCAAAGGTTATTAGTTTTCAAAACACAATCTTCATACTTTATCAAGAATCAAACACAGAATGTTAACGATTACACCATATACACATCCCACTGTGTTTACCAATTTTGTATGTAGGTCTGTGTATGAACAAATATACATTGAGAGGGATTTAATCTTGATTTGGATTTTAGAATAGCTGAATTGAACATTCACTATTTAAATGGGGATTATCTGTCAATTCACCAAACTGCCTACAAAAATAATTGGGGTCAAATCATCTAATATAAACAGATGACAAACATAACATCTTCCATTATCAAACAAACCGTTTAAATAACGCATACAATAATATAAACTCAGTTTTGCACAAAAGTTATCGATGGTAAATATTCAGATTTATTGAAGCCGTATTCATACGAAAGTTCAATTTCCTTCCTCTGTATCTTCAAAAACAATTTGTATTTACACTAGGCATAGCCTGATAATATTGATTGCATTGCGCAGAGTGGTGGAATTCATATTGATTTTTCCCTGTTGTGTTGTTTGTTTATTTTTAATCTTCCAATTTGTCCAGTTTAACCTTTAATTATTTTCATGTATGAGAATGTTTTAACAAATGAGTGTGTAATCAGAAATGTTATTTGTAATGTATTTTGCTGATAATATCACACTATTTCTTGATCACTTTGTGTTGTCATTAAATTGCCAAAATGGAATTGACTTTAAATAGGGGACGTATTTGTCCTAAAAAATACACATTTCAAAAGTGTATACGAATTACTTTATGATACTACTTAACGTTGGAGTGTGACTGCAGTTTAATTTATAAAAGTTACTTTTCTTCTGTGCTTTAAAAGTACATCATCTTTAATTTAATTGAATGTGAAATGATCAAAATGATGACTATATGGTAACAAATCTATACGGTTTTGTATATCCGATTGTGATTTGTCTCACAATAGTACTGATGCAAATAAATATAAAATCATAGTGTGTAATATAATCATGAAGTTATGTAACTACAACTGTGTCGAGGAATAAGTAGGTGCAAAACATCCGTTTAGTAGAGCTTCTTGTTAGATGGTTAAATGTAGTTGTCAAGAAACCTTGGTTGGTGGAGGTTTCGTGCTAGTTTTCACTCATCGACAGAATGTACTTTCGATATTAAGGAAACTGACGCTCCTAATAAGATTTGAATCCGCGTTACATAGCTTCACAATTTAAGCCATTACCACTGAACTTTTCAAGTACTGATAGACCTCATTTGGATCTGAGATATTTGTCATTGGTTGGTCACTTGGTAATGCTCATTGTCTTGCTTATCTTATAATACTACTGCTCCGATCCAGTCAATCAATTCATTTAATATTACAGATATATCTTGCTGTGACGAATCCCAACTAGCATAACCACCTGTAATCTCAACATAGTACATGTATTATCGAATCATTTAAACTACTGGCCAGTTTAAAATTAAATTGTCAAACTTCTTGAGTATTCAACCGTCAACTATTTTAACTTGTATAGTTATTTATTTTATAGTCAGTTAGATTTCTGACCATTTAATTCAATTTACCATGATTATTATTATTATAAACTGTAATTTAATAAGTACTTTTGTCTTTATTTAAAATATCATTTATGAATGTTTTCTTTTATTATTCCTTTCCTATTTAAATCCTTTGTCATTTAATCAATCTTGTGCGCATACAAAAAACAGTAGCTAAGAGCTTTTATTAATAGATTTTACCCTCCATCCTCCCCGCCGCTGCCTTCTACTTTTAAAAAAAGT